TAGATGGCCGCATGTTTACCTTCAAACTTTTAAGACCCCAGACGCTATATCTTTTGATAGCCGGGCACCATCAGCTTTCTTCACCACATTTGCTTATTCGCCCGCTTTGTCTTCAGCGGTTGTGTCGGGAAGGTGAGCATCATAGAATGCCAATTTAATAAAAGAAAGTATTTTTGCATTGAGGGAGTACCTGAGTGGAGGCCCAGTGTCGTTCTGCTACCTTAATACTAAACCTATAAATATAGGCTCATAAATCTCCTCTAGGTCTTTAATGCTTCCCCCTTTCCCCCACTACTGTCATGACCTAGTTCTGACAATCCAGCTAGACCAGAGCCTATTCACTGGTACACATGAGAGCTCTTGGCACAGGGAATCCAGGACAGATCAACCTTCAGGAACAATAATGCGAGTAGTGATACCATGAGGGTAGGGGGAAGAAAGGGGAATGATCACAATGATTGATGTATAACTGTGTGTCCCCAAGGGGGGGCCAACCACAGAAACATGGGTGAAGGAAGATAGCTGTTGTTGTAAGATAGGAAAATAATAATTTATGAATTATCATGGGTTCATGAAGGAGGGAGGGGAAAAATGAAGTGCTGATACCAAGGGCTTAAGTAGAAAGAAAATGTTTTTAAAAGGATGATAGCAACATATGTACAAATGTGCTTGATGTATGGATTGTTATAAAAGCTGTAAGAGCACCCAATAAGATGATTAAAAAAAGGAAAGAACGGAAAGAATTCCTTAGCGTTCTTCTCCAGCCCTGCTTTGCTTTCTCATCCCCGGGAGGCTACTGGGATAACTCTTCAGGCTCAGCACTTCCAGACATCCTTCCTGGGTTTTTGTGAACATTCTCGTCCTGGACTTCGCGGGCATTGCCTCGTTTTGAGCAGAATGGCGATGTAATCACCAGGGAGTCTGACCGGTGGAGATACGTGCTATGTACTTTCTTTTGTTCTGGACTTTGAAATACTGGCTTCTTCCGCTTTCCTGCTGCCTGCAGCTCTCTTGGTTGGCCTTCTGAAGCATAGGATGATGTCGAAAGGGCAAGAAGGTATAGAGAAAATGGGAGACAGTGGAAGGGAGCAGCCAGTGGGCACCCAGCCCTCAATCTGTGACAACCTGTGCTGGGTGCTGGACACTCAGACAACCACCCCCAGGGTGCTTGTGTGATGGCTGGGAAGACCTGCAGAACCAGGGTCGATGGAGTTGGGACAGATGGTGCCGTGGTGCCATGTTGGTGGGCACAGTGCACTCTGGTGTCTCCAGGAAGTGTTCTTTCTAATCTGACCCGTTCTCAGCCTGTCCTCCATGATGGCACAGGAAGCAGTCTCAGAGAGGCGCATGCTGCAGAGATGTGGCTGGGGGCGTTACCCTAGAGGAGGGTTTATACCAAGCTCCCTATATGTCTCATGGTTAAAGTAGCACACCATAAACATCTGGCCTAGGGTGGCAAAGTGATACTGGTATACTGGCCTCAACTTCTGATTTAGTGCAGTTATATATGCTCATTGTTTCAGGCCCGCCAAGAAGTGGGACAGCGCTGCTATTCAGTATTTTCAGAACATTCTCAAAGGTAAGGCAAGGCCATGGTCACCCCAGCCTGCTTTGACTTGCAGCAGTCTCGGGCAGCTCTCTCCAGGAGGGGGCTGGAGAAAGACTCCGCTCGCTGTTAGCCCCACCTCCTGTTGCTGCCATGAGTGACTGCATCCTGGGAACTTTAGGGTGTCCATCATTGACAGTTCAAGGTGGAGAGGAGCAGTTTGGGTGAGGAACCCTGACGCAGTAATGATGGTTTCCTCTGTGTTTGGTCAAGGCACCAGAGCCCTGAAAAACAGATGTACAGGAATTTTATTGAACCCAAAGTTGGTGGGAAACCTACATTTGCAGTGTGTAAGGGATAGTATGAAGGGGCTTCAAAAAATTCCCAGAAAGTTGGAATTGAAAGATAACGGCATTTTTTCACGAACCTTTTGAAGTCCCCTCTTCTATGCATATTTTCTGTGTAATGATCATCATTGTGAATTTAAGGTGTGTGGAGACAGTTCTTGTTTATTTTCAGGATACTGTCATAGTAGTATTTTTGTGGCAGCCATGCTAACCCGTGGTGGGAGGAGGGATCAAACGACTGTGCCTTCCTGTTAGGACTGTTCGGCGGTGTTAGTGGGTGTGAAGTAACTGGTGTGCTCAGCCTGGCTCCTCGCTGGGGTCCAGGCCTCTCTGAAAGGCCAGCTGTTCTCATCCCACTGAAATGGGCGGCTGGGAAGTTGCTGTGTGGGAGTTTGGGCCCTTGTGATCACCGGGGGGACTCCCCAGTGATGATGATCAGGTCTGGGGGAGGCAGACAACCTTGTTTTGCAGTCTGCCCAGTCACTTTGTGTAGTCTCAGGCAAGTGACCTAACCTCTTGAGTCTAGTCTCTTGACCTGTAAAAGGACAGTAACAGCACTTACCTCAAAGGATTGTGATAAGAATGAAATGCAATGCAACTCTTTTAAAAGGACTTCGTATAGTATCTGATACCTGGGAAGAGCTCCGTAAGACTCCTCACAGAGAACCAGGTCTTCTGACCCAGGGCACATTTGAAGGATAGAAGTGACGCTGTGAGGAAGCTTTGACATGTAGTAGTTTGGATGTAGTAGTCACTGGAAGGAGGTGGGGGTGGGGTGGCAAGTCCCATACTAAAGGAGTATCTTGTAGGGAGGCAGGAGGAGGATGCTGTTGATGGAGACCAAGGACGCGTGACTTACTCCTAGTAGGGAAGCCTGTCCCTTAACTGCCAGCCTCCAGAGCCACCCCTTCCAAGAGCTGCCTGGCTGGGGGAAGCTAGTGGAAAATCTTAATATGGTTAGCAGAGATTAATAGTGGGAATAGCTGAAATTACTTCAAGTACACACAATATAAGCTGTGGTAATACGTGGTTTTTGTTTGTTTGTTTTTTAACCACTATTCAGCTACTACCCACGTGGAAGCCAAACTGTGTGCTGTGGAAGAAGATACTTTTGAGGTTTACCTTTATGCAACCATCAAAAATGAGAAAGTAAGTGAGAGAATCGTGCTGTGCAATCATTTCTTTCCATTTTGAACTTGATTTCAGCTAAGTAAACTCCAGGGAAAACACTGGCATGCACTCAGTGTAAGCATGGCCTCCACCTTTCAGGGCTCGGCTCGGAAGTCAGCCCGGGCTGTGTCACTTTGTTGATGTAAAAAGATTACTGCCATGTTTTACTTAAGCAGAACTTTACTCAGTAATGGGCAAGAAAAATTGTTATTGGTTATTGGTTATTATTACATTGGCTATTACAGTAATTACAAAAATTATTACATTGGATAGTAGGAAATGTTTTCTCGAAAGAGGCAACTATCTTTATAAATAAATCATTGTATGTGGTATGTACCCATCGAAAAGAATTCAGGCAACCTACACAGAAAGAAAGTAGACCTCACGTGTATCTCCCATGCGCTCCTTCTTTCTCCTGTTGTTGGCCCCTGTGTGTGAATCAGTCAGAGACTAGCATCACCCACGTCAGACACTGCGTTGGTGGCGGGTAGCCAGCTCTATCCTATGGGGACCTCAGCTTCCCTTCCCTGTTGAATTCAGCTCCTGGCAGCCATGCAGCTCTTTTCTCTCTCAGCCTCTTTCCTGGGTGCCAGCTGCACCTTAGGGAGTCCACCTGACTTCCTCCATCTCACACCACCTGGCTCCACTGGTGCTTGGGCTTCTGTACTTTGCTCGAGCAACTTGGAGTGCACAGGAGACCCACGGAGGAGAAACTACCTGCAGTAACAGCTTAAACACAACAACAGAAGGACACAATTCAACGCAGGACAGGGTCTGGGAGAAGTGCCACAGGCACAGTGTGGAGCCGCCATGTCCAGGGTGGTACATCTACCCTCTCCTATGCATTGTCACCAACCAGGAAGCTTTAGGGCCTCTGGGTCTCATCATATCGTCTGGGCCTCTAGGTGACCTCTTGGTCTGGCCAGCCTTCATTCCTTAGCCTCAGGTGTTAGTACAGCTTGAAAGAACCGGGAACAAAGGTCAGATGATTCCATACCTCGTGACACCCTTTCTAAAGAATGGCCCAGGGACACTCTTCAGAGAGCTCACTAAGGACACTTGGACCAGACATGTCAATGTACTACAGAGAGTTCTTGTACAGTCTTCATGTGAGTTCTCCTAATGTTAATGTTTCTCATAACCATCGTGTGATTATTAAAGCCAGAAAATTAATGCTTTTAAAATACTACTAAAAACTTAGAGCTGTGAACCAGCTAGAACTGACAGACAGACACAGACATGGGACACTCCACCCCACAGCAGCACACCGCATTCTTCTCCTGTATGTGGCCTGTCGTTAGGTTGCAAAGCAAGTTGTGAAAAGATTGAAATCCTAAAAAGAATTCTCCAGGTCGAATTGATGGCAGCGTTGGGGCCAGTGCCTGGACTGCGAGTGGGGCTGGAGGTGGCCCTGCAGAAGCTGGTGCTGCAGCTCAAGACAATGCTGAGCCCCAGGAGTTGGAGCTGTATGCGTTGGCGCAAGATCCTGGTTGACCTGCTGAAGCCCCATGGCCCTGGCCACCATCTTCCGCATGCTCCATATGTGGTGGGCAGAGGCTGGTGTGTGTGTCTGCAGACCATGCAGCCCTGCCTTTGCCTGTGGCCAGCATGTCTGAGAGCCGAGGGCGAAACAAAGGCAGTGCCACAAACAGCGCAGCCCCAGCCCTGGTAGAACGGAATGGCGAGGAGGGAGGCAGCCTGAGGATGGCCAGGCAGCCCAGTGCCACCATGCTGCCCAAGGGGGTGGACCTGGGAAGAGCCTTGCTTGAGGCAGCACCCGAGAAGGCACTGCCCCCACCCAGCAGGACCACGACAGGGATGGCCTCTTGTGCTGCCCTGCGGGTCCTGTAATATGCCTTTCTGAAGGACGTGAAAAACCCTCCTCCAGTCAGAACGGAAAGTGGAAATTAATAGCAGAAGGAGAAAGGAAAATAACAAGCCTTTGGAAAGTAAGCAACACATTGTTCACACAGCCCGGGGCCGAGGGAAGGGATCATGAGAGAAGTCAGAAAATCCAGTCAGTCGAATGAAAAGGAGCACCAACCAACCAACCCCTGTGGGCCACAGTGAAGGAGAGCTTTATGGTGATCAAACTTAGACTCAAAAGAAAAAGCCTCAAGCCAGCACCCGAACTCTACAGCTTGAAGAACTGGAAAAGGAAGCGCAAAGTAGGTCCCACACTGCCAGCGAGTTCATTCCGACTCAGCAGCCTGTAAAGTTAGTGTCCAAAGGCCCCTGTGGGTTTGGAGACAGTAAATCTTTACAGGAGCGTTAGCCCACATCCTCCTCCCACAGAGTGGAGTGGCTTGTGGTTTTGAACTGCTTACCTTGTGATTAATAGCCCAACACTTGTATGTAAGAGAACACCGAGTAGCTATAGGCCAAGAAATTAGGTAACAAAGATGAAATGGACAAATTCCTAGAACACACAAACTTTCCACCTTGATTCAAGAAAGAAAAAAAAAAGATCTCTAAAGACCAATATCAAGTGAAGAGACTGAGTCAATAATCAAAAACTTCCCAACAAAGAAAAGCCTAGGACCAGATGATCTCACTGGGTAATTCTATCAATCATTTATAGATATGACGCTACCCTTTCTTAAGCTCCCCCCTTAAGACAATAGAGGAGGGAGTACTTTGTGACTACCGTACATACTCGAGTATTAGCCGACCCGAATATCAGCCGAGGCACCCAATTTTACCACAAAAAACTGCATCAGAAATGTGCTGGGAAACTCGGCGTGTGCATGAGTATATGCGGTAATTCTCTAAGGCTACCATTAACTTGATACTAAAACCGGACACAGACATCTCACACAAAAGAAATCTGTAGACCAGTATTTCTTATAGATGCAAAAGTATTAGCAGACCAAAAGCATATTAAAAGGAATGCATGCCATAATCAAATGGAATTTACCCCAAGACTGGAATGGTGGTTCAACATTAGCAAGTGAGTCAGTATCACATTGATACAACAAAGGGAAAAAAAACACATGATCACCTCAGTGGATACAGATCAGGAATTTGAAAATCTAACACGATTTCTTGATTAAAACATGAAAAGTCTAGAAACGAGAAAATCCTTGATACTTTAAAAGGTGTTTATGACAGGGCTTTGTCCTGTAAGGTCCGTCAGAGAGAAGTGTACTCAGTCTTGCCATCGCTGTTCCACATTGTTTTAGAGATCTCAGTGAAAACAATTAGGAAAGAAAAAGAAAAGGTGTCCAAATTATGAAGGAAGAAGTAAAATGCTCTATTTTGCAGATGAAAACCCCAAAGGAGTCAAAGCTAACAGAGCTACTAAAGGAGAAATCTGCAAAGCAGCAAGATAGAAATCAGGCCAAAACACAAAATCAGTCTGGCTTTTATACATCAGTGAACAATTTTCTGGAAAATAAGGAAACATTTCACTTACAATGGCGTCTAAAAAATTAAAATACCTAGGAATAAATGTAACCAGGAAGGTAAAGGATCTGAAAACTATAAAATGTTACTGAAAGAATATAAAGAGCACCTATGGATGGGAGGCCAGTCCATTCTCATAGGTTGAAAACATATGGTTGTTAAAGGAAACAGTGCAAATTATAGTTTCAGAGCAAGTCCTAATAAGATTCCAATAGTCTTCTCTGAAAAGGTGGGAATGCCAATCCTCAAATTCATACAGAACGTGGGGGCCAAATGGCCAAAACTATTGAAAAAGAAGAACCACATAGAACGATTTATGCTGCCAACATATTTTAAGCTACAGTCATCAAAATATACATGATAAGCTTTAAAAAATCATCTATAAAATGTCAAAGATTACTCTAAAGAAGGGGTATCAAACTGGCGGCCCATGGGCTGCTTGTGCCCCCTGAGGTAATTTTTTGTGGCCTACGATGCTCTGAAATAAAATAAAAATAGAAAAAATTGTTATGAAGAAAATAGCACTTAGGGGAGATCAAGGCAATACTGTACACAAAATTCACAAAATTTTTAATCAAGAAATCGTGTTAGATTTTCAAATTCCTGATCTGTATCCACTGAGGTGATCATGTGTTTTTTTTTCCCTTTGTTGTATCAATGTGATACTGACTCACTTGCTAATGTTGAACCACCATTCCAGTCTTGGGGTAAATTCCATTTGATTATGGCATGCATTCCTCTTAATATGCTTTTGGTCTGCTAATACTTTTGCATCTATAAGAAATACTGGTCTACAGATTTCTTTTGTGTGAGATGTCTGTGTCCGGTTTTAGTATCAAGTTAATGGTAGCCTTAGAGAATTACCGCATATACTCATGCACACGCCGAGTTTCCCAGCACATTTCTGATGCAGTTTTTTGTGGTAAAATTGGGTGCCTCGGCTGATATTCGGGTCGGCTAATACTCGAGTATGTACGGTAGTCACAAATTCACAAATACTGTACACAAAAATATTTCAGAGCATCGTGGGCCACAAAAAAGTACCTCGGGGGCTGCATGAAGCCCATGGGCCACCAGTTTGACACCCCTGCTGTAAAGCAAAGATGAGGCAGAAGGCAGGGAAACTGAAATTGGGTCAACCGGAACCGAGTGAAAGAGAATGTTGGCACATTGTGAAAAATGTAACCACGAGCAACTTGTGTAGAAATTGTTGATTACAACCTGATTTGCTAACCTGTTCTGCCTAGTGCCTATGAACCCCCTTTAATGTACATTTTAAAAGCACTTTGACGGGAGACTTCACCTCAATTGGGATCAGTTTCTCAGGAGGGGAGAAGACCATTCAGTTGCTGCCATACAGCATTGTGCTAAGGTCACCCTAAACCAACAAGAGTGATAAAGTGAACCTTACAGGCAATGCAAGTAAATTCAAGTCGAGACTGGCAGGGGTTGGATAAGAGAGTGAGCGTGGGCATGCATGTGTCAGAGAAGACGATTCACCCCTGTTGGTGGGTAAGCCAGGTGGAGTGACCTGCCACCAGGAAAAACACCTAACAAATACTCTTCTCGAATCC